AATGATAATTACCATGAGCACTTCAGCACAGCAAATTTCATTGATTTGATCGAGAGAGCGTGTTTGGATTTATCATCGCTTTGAATAATATTTCAGTTTTTTCAGTCTCGCAGCTTGATATTGAAGGAACCCCCCAAGTATGATGCTGGGACTGGGACCTCAAGTGCTGCCTGCGTATGGTGCTGGGAATGGAACCATACATGTCATCGTATCCCCACTGCGTAGATCGATGCTCATGATGTCAATCACTGGATGGTCTGGTCCAGGCTCGATTATTTTGGTGATGGGAGTGGAACCCCAAAGTGCTGTCTGCGTATGGTGCTGGGACTGGAACCCCCAAGGGCTGCCTGCGTATGGTGCTAGGACTGGAAACACCCCACCCCCCACCCCAAGTGCTGCCTGCGTATGGTGCTAGGACTGGAAACACCCCACCCCCAACCCCAAGTGCTGCCTGCGTATGGTGCTGGGACTGGAACAACCCACCCCCACCCCCAAGTGCTGTCTGCGTATGGTGCTGGGACTGGAAACAACCCACCCCCAACCCCAAGTGCTGCCTGCGTATGGTGCTGGGACTGGAACCCCCAAGGGCTGCCTGCGCATGGTGCTAGGACTGGAAGCACCCCACCCCCCAACCCCAAGTGCTGTCTGCGTATGGTGCTGGGACTGGAACCCCCAAGTGCTGTCTGCGTATGGTGCTGGGACTGGAACCCCCAAGTGCTGTCTGCGTATGGTGATGGGAGTGGAACCCCAAAGTGCTGTCTGCGTATGGTGCTGGGACTGGAACCCCCAAGTGCTGTCTGCGTATGGTGCTGGGACTGGAACCCCCAAGTGCTGTCTGCGTATGGTGCTGGGACACTGGACCTGGTGACCAGAGTTCTCTTGGACATCACAAACACACAGCTGTGCAGAGCGAACAGCGCCGTCTATAATGACAGGACCACAGTGTACCATCTCCAGTTTATGAAGTTGTCTAAGACGGAAATGCAAAGAATTGTCTTTGAAAACATGTTTTCTTTATACTACCCATATTTCCACTTTCGTTTAAGAACCACATCAGCTATCAAAAGACCATTGGAATTAAAGGGCGTGTAACTATTTTCGCATGCGTAGATTAATTCACTTACTTCATATGCGCACCATTAATAGAAAAGCGCAACACCGCGGCAATGCGACACTTTTTGGACACACTTGAGGTGGGTCGACAATGCAACATGCTTGACCTTGAAAACTGCAGCGTTTTCGCATTGTCGCTCTTTCGTAGAAGATTATTCAAAGGTCGACATAGCGACAATGAGACAAAATGGCCACAATATCGTGCTTTGGTCAATATTGACGCGTTGTGTTGGGAAGAATGCCTCTTCTTACGTATGACTGTTTGTTGATGACGCGTTGTGTTGGGAAGAATGCCTTTTCCTACGTATGACTGTTTGTTGATAACGCATTGTGTTGGGAAGAATGCCTCTTCTTACGTATGACTGTTTGTTGATGACGCGTTGTGTTGGGAAGAATGCCTCTTCCTACGTATGACTGTTTGTTGATAACGCGTTGTGTTGTGAAGAATGCCTCTTCCTACGTATGACTGTTTGTTGATGACGCGTTGTGTTGGGAAGAATGCCTCTTCTTACGTATGACTGTTTGTTGATGACGCGTTGTGTTGGGAAGAATGCCTCTTCCTACGTATGACTGTTTGTTGATAACGCATTGTGTTGCGAAGAATGCCTCTTCCTACGTATGACTGTTTGTTGATGACGCGTTCTGTTGGGAAGAATGCCTTTTCCTACGTATGACTGTTTGTTGATGACGCGTTGTGTTGGGAAGAATGCCTCTTCCTACGTATGACTGTTTGTTGATGACGCGTTGTGTTGGGAAGAATGCCTCTTCCTACGTATGACTGTTTGTTGATGACGCATTGTGTTGGGAAGAATGCCTCTTCCTACGTATGACTGTTTGTTGATGACGCGTTGTGTTGGGAAGAATGCCTTTTCCTACGTATGACTGTTTGTTGATGACGCGTTGTGTTGGGAAGAATGCCTCTTCCTACGTATGACTGTTTGTTGATGACGCGTTGTGTTGGGAAGAATGCCTCTTCCTACGTATGGCTGTTTGTTGATAACGCGTTGTGTTGTGAAGAATGCCTCTTCCTACGTATGACTGTTTGTTGATGACGCGTTGTGTTGGGAAGAATGCCTCTTCCTACGTATGACTGTTTGTTGATAACGCGTTGTGTTGTGAAGAATGCCTCTTCCTACGTATGACTGTTTGTTGATGACGCGTTGTGTTGGGAAGAATGCCTTTTCCTACGTATGACTGTTTGTTGATGACGCGTTGTGTTGGGAAGAATGCCTCTTCCTACGTATGACTGTTTGTTGATGACGCGTTGTGTTGGGAAGAATGCCTCTTCCTACGTATGACTGTTTGTTGATAACGCATTGTGTTGCGAAGAATGCCTCTTCCTTACGTATGACTGTTTGTTGATGACGCGTTGTGTTGGGAAGAATGCCTCTTCCTACGTATGACTGTTTGTTGATGACGCATTGTGTTGGGAAGAATGCCTCTTCCTACGTATGACTGTTTGTTGATGACGCGTTGTGTTGGGAAGAATGCCTCTTCCTACGTATGACTGTTTGTTGATGACGCATTGTGTTGGGAAGAATGCCTCTTCCTACGTATGACTGTTTGTTGATGACGCGTTGTGTTGGGAAGAATGCCTCTTCCTACGTATGACTGTTTGTTGATGACGCGTTGTGTAGGGAAGAATGCCTCTTCCTACGTATGACTGTTTGTTGATGACGCGTTCTGTTGGGAAGAATGCCTCTTCCTACGTATGACTGTTTGTTGATGACGCGTTGTGTTGGGAAGAATGCCTCTTCCTACGTATGACTGTTTGTTGATGACGCGTTGTGTTGGGAAGAATGCCTCTTCCTACGTATGACTGTTTGTTGATGACGCGTTGTGTTGGGAAGAATGCCTCTTCCTACGTATGACTGTTTGTTGATGACGCGTTGTGTTGGGAAGAATGCCTCTTCCTACGTATGACTGTGTGTTGATTGTTTAACGCTGCACTCAGCACGTTTCCCGGGTTTTGGCCGCGGTTTGTCCATCCAGTCCATCCAGTGATTGACATCACGAGCATCCATCTACGCAACCGGGATACGATGACATGTATCAACCAAGACAACGAACCTGACCGACCACCCGATCCCGTTAGTCTCCAGCATTCCTGAAGACCCTTTCTTACGCAGATATACACGGATTTTCCTTTGTAGTGTGGAGTAGAATGTAGAGCACGAAGTTGCTAGTTCAAATTGACTTGTAAGAAACTAAGATTAATCCTTCCTTTATTTATTTCAGTAATAAGGCCTCAGGCCCACGTACATATTACATGCAAATATTTACAATTGGTGCTGCATTTCCTAAATTTCCTAAAAGATATGACGATCGTAGACTGACAGCGTCTTTCACAAAATTTGCCAGGTTTTTTAACAGTAAGACATCAGAGGACTGTAGCATTCTAACAAGAGTCTCTCTGTGACTGATAGTGCCCACGTGTAAATAAGGAACATATTTAAGACGTATAACATGATAAACAGGACAAACAAAAATAAAATGACTTTCATTTTCAATAGCATTTAAACTACATAGTGGGCAAAAACTGATGTTTTTGTCCACACGTACTCTGCCTCCTTCCTGTGTTTTGCATTATATCGAGTTCGCCAATTCTGAACAAGGTGAGCATGCGTGCGTATTCTTTACGTAAACTGCTTAGGTATAGCTCGGGAAAGAGGGGCAATTTAAACTCTGCATAAAAATTTGTGTATAACAATCTTTAACCCTAAGCGTTAATTCATTTATAAAGCATCCCACATCACCAACACCTTGGCATTGCCAAACTATTCCCAAACCTAGAGAATACAATAGATGTTTAATATGAGTAACCCAAGTTTCCTTACCAGCTGCATGTAAATCTATTAAGATACTATAACACTGTTTGGGGTACCTGTTTTGAGACATGTTAAGACGTTTGAACCAGTATCTTATACATCTGACATATGTATCTACGTAAATACCATAAGTACCGAGATAACAATAGTAGGTTGATATCTTGACTGGGACATCGCCCAGTTTCCAGTTTTCATATTTCCTTAATTTGCCACAATTTCGAAAAAACAATACTTCAGTCTTATCTAAATTGACTCTTAAGCCCCAATTGTTACAAAACGTCTATTTTCTTTTGTAACTCGAGAACAGAGTCTGCAAAAATACATAAATCATCAGCATAGAGAAGTATAAAGAACTCTAATAAATATTCGTGAACAAAGATGCCCCTGCCACCGAAATGCTGAATGTCATTTTCCAGCTCGTTTATGAATAATGAAAATATGAGAGGACTTAAAATGCATCCTTGTCTAATACCACTAAAACAATTGAAATAATCCGTGATATTGCTCCGTGATATTTTAACAGAGGCCAACGTTTTTGAATACATGTCCTTAATCATTTGAACCATGAATATCATTTGAATAAAGGTCATACCACAAAAGTTTCCTGTTGACGGAATCAAAAGCCTTTTGAAAATCGACAAATAGACGATAAAACCTTCCTTTCTTCTCCTTCCAACACTGATGACAAAATCGTATCGACGATAAAGGGGATTATGTTGAAAATAAACCATTTCAATGTTCTTAGGTTAAGTCTTTCCTTGTGAGACTCAGAACATTATAACTAACCAATGTGTGAGCAGTGGTTTTATAAACAACTTTTCAAACGACAGAGAATAGCGAAGTAAGTACCTAAGCTATCAAACCTTTACAAGATGTGGTCACAGTGCAAATGTGAGGTACAAAGTGTAGGCACGAGAATATAGGCTAATGCTTTGTCTTAACATAAATGTCTAATATGTATTTCTGTAATAGACGACAGGATCGTTTGCTATAATGATCCCAGGCTGTGTTAAACCTCACCAACACACATTGCCATGATCCTAAAATGAATACTTTCAATTCCCATCAAGAAACATAATTTATTTAAAGAATCTTAGACAAGGGTGAATACAATTCTGATATATGTAGATGTGTGTGTGTGTGTAAATACTGGTGAAAGCTGCATTGTATTTGCATTGTGCATGACCTGCAGGCACACACGTGTACAAACTGACGGACGTGACATTGACTGACACAAAGACTGGTAGACACGTGACATTGACTAAATATATACTGATGGATGCTTGACACCATCCTGTCACCAACTGATCAGAAGGGTTAGGAGACAAATATATACCGATGGATGCCTGACGCCTTCCTGTCACCAACAGATCAGTGCTGGTTAGATATACGAGCCCACACGAGCACAGTCAAATGATAAAATGATACCCTAAACACGCGGCATCAAATCCATTGTAAACTGTGATACGTTCCGGTATCAGTTCACACTGTCTGCGTACATTGGTCGTTAAGAATAAATCTTAGTGAGGAATATGACCTGTCTCAACAAATTTCATGAACTTCAAAATCTCGAACTTGCTAAATTTGAAGTCCTCTTTCAAGATAGTCTCATCCAGCTCTAATGCCAACGGCCCGTCGACTCCTTGCTCCCTGAAAGCTTTGGCGTGTTTGTCCAGTTTCAGTTCCTTCAGTTTTTGGACAATTTCATCGATTGACATACTCTCAAGAGGTTTATTCTCCTCCACTATAGCATATTCCGAGACTTGACCTTGGCTAGCAGCCTTTTCCAGCTTGTACTCTCCTTTGTTTGTCTTCTCAGCTGCAGCTTTTGCCAGCGCAGTGAAGGGATTAACAACAGCCCTCCCGATATCGTTCACATACTGGTTACTTGTGGCAGCGTCCTCGGAAAACCGTCTCGTTGGTTTATGCTCAGACCTCTTTGGCAGCTGAGGAGGTCTGCTGTCTGTCTGAGGTGGTGGCAGGGGTTTGGGAGGTTTAGGGGGCTTCCCGCTAGTCACCCTTGTGACAGCCCGAGTGTCTGTAGCTTTCTTTCCGTCCCAGTCGGCGATGATGTAACTGCTGGGTTCGATGAAGTCGTAGACGTTGTCAGAGCCCTGAATCGACTGGGGCGAGTACAGGGCGATTTCTGAAAACGAGGTGAAGATATATGACAGGGGCATTAATACACCTGGTTATAGTACATCGTCGATGTTGGTGAAAAAGGGTGCGGCAGCATAAAACCTTGTCTCACTCCTCTCTCTGCGTCCAGATACACGGCTGCTATGTCACCCTGTTGCTAATGCGTGCCACCTTTTCATCTCCGCCTTCATACTGGTATCTGAGACACTGGTAAGTGACAAGTTCAAAAATATATCGGCAGTCTTTATTGGAAAACACTTTTACGCACAAAACTGCGTATGAATTATTAAACCCTTTTCATTAAGAATATTTACTTAATGTTATTGTGCAGGAAATGTTCAATCATCTCTGTATGAAGTTGATATGTATTCTCTTAAAATGTACCCAAGACACACGTGTTGTCAGTGACCATCGCGTCAAGGTGGATCTGCACGATCTTGTAAACACATGGTACTGTGCGGGTTTGTTACTTTTACCCCTGAGACCCGTGTCAAGGGGGATCTGCACCCTCTGGTACATAGTGTTGTGTGGGTTTGTTACATTTACCTCTGAGACCCGTGTCAAGGGAGATCTGCACCCTCTGGTACTTAGTGTTGTGATTTGTTTGTTCAACTTACCTCTGAGACCCGTGTCAAGGGGGATCTGCACCCTCTGGTACATAGCGTTGTGATTTGTTTGTTCAACTTACCTCTGAGACCCGTGTCAAGGGGGATCTGCACCCTCTTGTACATAGTGTTGTGATTTGTTTGTTACACTTACCCCTGAGACCCGTGTCAAGGGGGATCTGCACCCTCTGGTACATAGTGTTGTGATTTGTTTGTTACACTTCCCTCTGAGACCCGTGTCAAGGGGGATCTGCACCCTCTGGTACATAGTGTTGTGATTTGTTTGTTCAACTTACCTCTGAGACCCGTGTCAAGGGGGATCTGCACCCTTTGGTACATAGCGTTGTGATTTGTTTGTTCAACTTACCTCTGACACCCGTGTCAAGGGGGATCTGCACCCTCTGGTACATAGTGTTGTGTGGGTTTGTTACATTTACCTCTGAGACCCGTGTCAAGGGGGATCTGCACCCTCTGGTACATAGTGTTGTGTTGGTTTGTTGCACTTACCCCTGAGACCCGTGTCAAGGGGGATCTGCACCCTCTGGTACATGGTGTTGTGATTTGTTTGTTACACTTCCCTCTGAGACCCGTGTCAAGGAGGATCTGCACCCTCTGGTACATGATGTTGTGATTTGTTTGTTCAACTTACCTCTGAGACCCGTGTCAAGGGGGATCTGCACCCTCTTGCACATGGTGTTGATGTATGTAACATAAGTTTCCCATTCCTCCTGTGACTTCCCCTGTAACCCCGTGACGGAGGCCACCATGATGTCGCCCAGGTACAGCGGAATAAGGAGGGGGATGTCATCGGGTTTGCCTGTACCACAAACACATAAAATAATCATGACAGCTGGAACTGTGTTAGGGCATGACTAGATCACGTATAAGGAAAATCTTCAAAACAATAGTCTTACGTTCATAATATTTTTCAATTGATTTGAGCGTGTAAGTGACATATCCTGTGTCAATCAATCAAACTTTATTTCGTACTGAAGAGGCCACAGGCCTATAGTACATACACATATATGATGGGGAATTACATAAATAAATATATTTGCATTACAGTCATAAAACATTTGTCCTATACAAGATTTTGTAATATATTTTGATTTGTACTGCTTATAAGTGTAGAGAATTTTATGATACTTGGATAGACATAGTAATACCTTTTAATATATTTACAACCTATTGAATTATACGATGGACGGATGAGAAGAAAGTGATGTTCATCTTCAATTTCACTTAAATTACATAGTGTACATATTCTATCTTCTTTTTTAACATCTTTATATCTGCCGCTTTTAATCAACAAATCGTGAAATGAACATCGGAATCTTGCTTGCTTTGTTTATATTAACACATGATAAGTATACTTCATTGAATAGATCTTTTTTAAATTTTGATTAATAAAAACATTTAGTTGACAAAGATATTTTCTCACACCATGTTTGAAGATATATGTCTTTAAGTCTTATGGTTAAAGACTGAATGAATGGTGTATGCGATTCTACATATTGCGCATTCTAAACGTTTCTGAAGCCAATAGAGAATAAGAAGTTCATAACATGAGATGTCCAAGTTCATTGTCCATTTTCACCATACAATAACATCATATTATAGCAGTTTTTAGGTTAACAATATGGAGGCATATTTAACAGTTTTAACCAATATTTGACAACTTTTATCCTTGTAAACAAGTGCATTGGATATCTGCTACATTCTCTGCGCTAACTGTATTCAACACCAAGATATTTCTTGCATGCATACAAGTGTATTCTCTCTATTAGATGAAAGTCTACTAATCCCCAGAATTCTGCTCCATCTGTCCAAATTGGGTTTATTTTTTGCATCAAAAATCTCTGTGTATGAAGTGAGTGTTTAAAGAAGGTGACAAAACCTGTGTTTGAAGTGAGTGAAGGAAGTAGGTGACATAACCAGTGTTTGAGGTGAGTGAAGGAAGCAGGTGACAAAACCTGTGTCTGAGGTGAGTGAAAGAAGTAGGTGACATAACCTGTGTTTGAAATGAGTGAAGGAAGTAGGTGACATAACCTGTGTTTGAGGTGAGTGAAGGAAGAAGGTGACATAACCTGTGTTTGAAATGAGTGAAGGAAGTAGGTAACAAGACCTGTGTTTGCAGTTAGTGAAAGAAGTAGGTGACATAACCTGTGTTTGAAGTGAGTGAAGGAAGAAGGTGACAAAACCTGTGTTTGCAGTGAGTGAAGGAAGTAGGTGACATAACCTATGTTTGAAATAAGTGAAGGAAGAAGGTAACAAAACCTGTGTTTGAGGTGAGTGAAAGAAGTAGGTGACATAACCTGTGTTTGAGGTGAGTGAAGGAAGTAGGTGACAAAACCTGTGTTTGAGGTGAGTGAAGGAAGTAGGTGACATAACCTGTGTTTGAGGTGAGTGAAAGAAGTAGGTGACAAAACCTGTGTTTGAGGTGAGTGAAGGAAGTAGGTGACATAACCTGTGTTTGAGGTGAGTGGAAGGAAGTAGGTGACAAAACCTGTGTTTGAGGTGAGTGAAAGAAGTAGGTGACAAAACCTGTGTTTGCAGTGAGTGAAGAAAGTAGGTGACAAAACCTGTGTTTGAGGTGAGTGAAGGAAGTAGGTGACAAAACCTGTGTTTGAGGTGAGTGAAGGAAGTAGGTGACAAAACCTGTGTTTGCAGTGAGTGAAGGAAGTAGGTGACAAAACCTGTGTTTGAGGTGAGTGAAGGAAGTAGGTGACATAACCTGTGTTTGAAATGAGTGAAGGAAGTAGGTATGAAAACCTGTGTTTGAGGTGAGTGAAGGAAGTAGGTGACATAACCTGTGTTTGAAATGAGTGAAGGAAGTAGGTAAGAAAACCTGTGTTTGAGGTGAGTGAAAGAAGTAGGTGACATAACCTGTGTTTGAAGTGAGTGAAGGAAGTAGGTGACATAACCTGTGTTTGAAGTGAGTGAAGGAAGTAGGTGACAAAACCTGTGTTTGAGGTGAGTGAAGGAAGTAGGTGACAAAACCTGTGTTTGAGGTGAGTGAAGGAAGTAGGTGACAAAACCTGTGTTTGCAGTGAGTGAAAGAAGTAGGTGACATAACCTGTGTTTGAGGTGAGTGAAAGAAGTAGGTGACAAAACCTGTGTTTGAGGTGAGTGAAGGAAGAAGGTGACATAACCCGTGTTTGAGGTGAGTGAAAGAAGTAGGTGAGACAACCTGTGTTTGAGGTGAGTGAAGGAAGTAGGTGACATAACCTGTGTTTGAGGGGGTGGAAGGAAGTAGGTGACAAAACCTGTGTTGTAAGGTGAGTGAAGGAAGTAGGTGACAAAACCTGTGTTTGAGGTGAGTGAAGGAAGTAGGTGACAAAACCTGTGTTTGAAGTGAGTGAAGGAAGTAGGTGACAAAACCTGTGTTTGCAGTGAGTGAAAGAAGTAGGTGACAAAACCTGTGTTTGCAGTGAGTGAAGGAAGTAGGTGACAAAACCTGTGTTTGGAGTGAGTGAGTGAAGGAAGTAGGTGACAAAACCTGTGTTTGAGGTGAGTGAAGGAAGTAGGTGACATAACCTGTGTTTGAGGAAGTGAGTGAAAGAAGTAGGTGACAAAAACCTGTGTTTGAGGTGAGTGAAGGAAGTAGGTGACATAACCTGTGTTTGAGGGTGAGTGAAGGAAGTAGGTGACAAAACCTGTGTTTTGAGGTGAGTGAAAGAAGTAGGTGACATAACCTGTGTTTGAAATGAGTGAAGGAAGTAGGTGACAAAACCTGTGTTTGAGGTGAGTGAAGGGAAGTAGGTGACAAAACCTGTGTTTGAAAGTGAGTGAGAAGGAAGTAGGTGACAAAACCTGTGTTTGCAGGTGAGTGAAGGAAGTAGGTGACAAAACCTGTGTTTGCAGTGAGTGAAGGAAGTAGGTGACAAAACCTGTGTTTGAGGTGAGTGAAGGAAGTAGGTGACAAAACCTGTGTTTGCAGTGAGTGAAGGAAGTAGGTGACAAAACCTGTGTTTGAGGTGAGTGAAGGAAGTAGGTGACAAAACCTGTGTTTGCTGTGAGTGAAGGAAGTAGGTGACAAAACCTGTGTTTGAGGTGAGTGAAGGAAGTAGGTGACAAAACCTGTGTTTGCAGTGAGTGAAGGAAGTAGGTGACAAAACCTGTGTTTGCAGTGAGTGAAGGAAGTAGGTGACAAAACCTGTGTTTGAGGTGAGTGAAGGAAGTAGGTGACATAACCTGTGTTTGAAATGAGTGAAGTAAGTAGGTATGAAAACCTGTGTTTGAGGTGAGTGAAGGAAGTAGGTGACATAGCCTGTGTTTGAAATGAGTGAAGGAAGTAGGTAAGAAAACCTGTGTTTGAGGTGAGTGAAAGAAGTAGGTGACATAACCTGTGTTTGAAATGAGTGAAGGAAGAAGGTGACATAACCTGTGTTTGCAGTGAGTGAAGGAAGTAGGTGACAAAACCTGTGTTTGAAATGAGAGAAGGAAGTAGGTAACAAGACCTGTGTTTGCAGTTAGTGAAAGAAGTAGGTGACATAACCTGTGTTTGAGGTGAGTGAAAGAAGTAGGTGACAAAAACCTGTGTTTGAGGTGAGTGAAGGAAGTAGGTGACATAACCCGTGTTTGAGGTGAGTGAAAGAAGTAGGTGAGACAACCTGTGTTTGAGGTGAGTGAAGGAAGTAGGTGACATAACCTGTGTTTGAGGGGATGGAAGGAAGTAGGTGACAAAACCTGTGTTTGAGGTGAGTGAAGGAAGTAGGTGACAAAACCTGTGTTTGCAGTGAGTGAAGCAAGTAGGTGACAAAACCTGTGTTTGAGGTGAGTGAAGGAAGTAGGTGACAAAACCTGTGTTTGAGGTGAGTGAAGGAAGTAGGTGACAAAACCTGTGTTTGCAGTGAGTGAAGGAAGTAGGTGACAAAACCTGTGTTTGAGGTGAGTGAAGGAAGTAGGTGACATAACCTGTGTTTGAAATGAGTGAAGGAAGTAGGTAAGAAAACCTGTGTTTGAGGTGAGTGAAGGAAGTAGGTGACATAACCTGTGTTTGAGTGAGGTGAAAGAAGTAGGTGAGAAAACCTGTGTTTGGGTGAGTGAAGGAAGTAGGTGACATAACCTGTGTTTGAGGTGAGTGAAAGAAGTAGGTGACAAAACCTGTGTTTGAAGTGAGTGAAGGAAGTAGGTGACAAAACCTGTGTTTGAGAGTGAGTGAAAGGAAGTAGGTGACAAACCTGTGTTTGCAGTGAGTGAAGGAAGTAGGTGACAAACCTGTGTTTGAGAGTGAGTGAAGGAAGTAGGTGACAAAACCTGTGTTTGAGGTGAGTGAAGGAAGTAGGTGACATAACCTGTGTTTGAGGTGAGTGAAAGAAGTAGGTGACAAAAACCTGTGTTTGAGGTGAGTGAAGGAAGAAGGTGACATAACCTGTGTTTGAGAGGTGAGTGAAAGAAGTAGGTGACAACAACCTGTGTTTGAGGTGAGTGAAGGAAGTAGGTGACATAACCTGTGTTTGAAGTGGAAGGAAGTAGGTGACAAAACCTGTGTTTGAGGTGAGTGAAGGAAGTAGGTGACAAAACCTGTGTTTGAATGAGTGAGTGGAAGGAAGTAGGTGACAAACCTGTGTTTGAGGGGTGAGTGAAGGAAGTAGGTGACAAAACCTGTGTTTGAGGTGAGTGAAGGAAGTAGGTGACAAACCTGTGTTTGAGGTGAGTGAAGGAAGTAGGTGACAAAACCTGTGTTTGCAGTGAGTGAAGGAAGTAGGTGACAAAACCTGTGTTTGAGGTGAGTGAAGGAAGTAGGTGACATAACCTGTGTTTGAGGTGAGTGAAGGAAGTAGGTGACAAAACCTGTGTTTGAGGTGAGTGAAG